CCGGTCCTCTTCGTCCGCAAGAAGGACGGATCCCTCCATCTTTGCGTTGACTTCCGAGGGCTGAACAAGATCACCAAAAAGGATCGCTACCCACTCCCCTGCATCTCCAACCTCCTTGATGCACCTAGCTGTGCCACAGTCTACACCAGACTCGACCTCCGGCATGTTTACCACCTGGTTCGCATTGCAGCAGGCGACAAATGGAAGACTTCCTTCCACACATGCTATGGTTCCTATGAGTGGCTTGTCATGCCATTCGGTCTCACGAATGCACCCGCGGCCTTCCAGCAATTCGTCAACACGATCTTTGCCGACCTCTTGGACGTTTCTGTGGTAGTCTACCTAGATGACATCCTTACCTACTTGGAAGACATGGCTTCACATCAGGAGCATGTCTGAGAAGTTCTTAGGAGACTCCGCAAACACAGCCTATACGCCAATCCGAAGAAATGCAAATTTCATATGGACACTACGGAATACCTCGGATACTGCCTTTCTCCCTCCGGACTCACCATGTCCATCGAGAAGGTTAAAGCCGTCCAAGATTGGCCTGAGCCCCGTAAAGTCAAGGATGTCCAGTCCTTCCTTGGCTTCGCTAACTTCTATCGGCATTTCATCCACCAATACTCCGACATTGTGGTCCCCTTGACGTGCCTTACATGTAAAGGAGCCCCCTGGTTATTCTCTGACGACTGTCGCTCTGCTTTCAACACCTTGAAAGAAACCTTCACTTCTGCTCCTATCCTGACACATTGGTTACCCGATGCCCCCCTCATTGTAGAAACCGACGCTTCCAATTACACAATCTCCGGAATCTTGTCCATCTGTTGTGATGATGGAGAGATTCGCCCTGTTGCTTTCCGCTCTAGAACACTCTTGGTGCCAGAGCTCAACTACGACACCCATGATAAGGAACTGCTCGCCATCCATGATGCGTTCCGATTGTGGCGTCACTACCTTGAAGGTTCAGGAACTCCAATCGATGTCGTCACCGACCACAAGAACCTCGAGTATTTTTCCACCACCAAACTCTTGACCTGGCGGCAAGCCCGCTGGTCGGAGTTCCTCTCCCAGTTCCACATGACTGTCCGATTCCATCCTGGAAGACTCGGAGTAAAACCAGATGCATTAACTAGATGCTGGGACATCTATCCCAAAGAAGGGGATATGGACTATGCTCGCGTCAATCCACAGAACTTCCGACCGGTCTTCACTTCGGAGCAGCTCACTGCGTCCTTACGAGCCACGTTCCTAGCTGCCACAGTAATCTGAGCAGCCATTGTTATGGGGACAAGTCCGTGCAGGTCAAACCAACCCTTATCACACATTTCACCCCCTACTGCATCAGGGACTAGGATTGGTGAGTCGTGGTAATAGTAGGAGTTGTAGAGACTGTGGAGGCGGTTCTGACGAGTCCAAGACCGTCGGATTTGGTGGAGTGGTTGAGGAGATATGACTTGTTCTTTATTTTCCTTACTATTTTCATTCATTCACGCATATGACTTTCCTTTTATATTTGTATCGGCTCTTGCCAGACAACTGTACAAACAGTTAGTTAGAGGTTAGAGAAAGTATCAGCACCGTACTCGCAGGACCCATCCTACCTGAGAGATAGAGAGAGACCTACCCCCCCCCCCCCAGACCTGAGTTGCGAGTCTAGATTGATAGACCCGTTACACCGTACTCGTCAACACAGAGGCTCTTCATTGAGACATTCTAGCCTCCCTCTCCTCCGATACCACAATCTCTTCTCATCTCGCTTCCCCCAACCTCCCCAATTCCCGCTGGTCCGTTGATGCTGAAGGCCTGTTAAGGCTGGACAACCGCATTTACATTCCGGATTCCAACGATCTCCATCTCCGTGTTTTGCGAGACAAACACGACCACCAACTTTCCGGACACTTCGGTCAAAACCGGACTCTGGATCTAGTACGTCGTGAGTATACCTGGCCGGGCATCTGTAACTTCGTCAAGAGCTACGTCTCCTGCACTTCTTGTGCCCATGCCAAAGTCCCCCATCATAAGCCTTACAGCTTGCTCAAACAACTCCCCATCCCCGAATGTCCTTGGAACTCCATCTCCATGGATTTCATCGAACAGCTACCCTCCTCTTCCGGATTCACTTCCATCTTGGTCATCATGGACCACCTGTCTAAACAGTGCATTTTCATTCCTACCCACGATACCATCACCTCTCCAGAACTGGCCAAGCTCTTTCTCCTCTACATGTTCTCCAAGCATGGAGTTCCTTCCCACGTCACCTCCGACAGGGGGTCCGGAGTTTGTCTCTCATTTTTTCCATTCACTTGGTAAGGCCCTCAACATCTGCCTCTGTCATATCCATCCCCGGCCATCGACTTCCGATCCCTCCGGTCTACCCCCGCTCCTTCTCCACTAACCTCGGAGCTCCCGTATTCCACAACTCCCTCAGTACCCCTCAATGGTCACCACCCCCTCCTTTCAATTTATTACCTATGCCTCCCTAAGTACGGAGCCCCGAAGACTTCCGGACAGCTCCGACGTCCACTAGCGCACTCCTGCCTCTGTTGGGCAATACACTCGCCTGCCCTGCAGAGCCCACCTTCAGGCCTATCCCTCCTTTCCGTTAACCCATAACCCAACTTGTCGGTAATATTCAGTCGGCTAATGTTTAACCCCGTTAGCTCCACTCCGTTCAGCTCCGCCATTTGCGGACCCATCTTCGCTGTAACCATATATATATCCAGCTTGTACATAGGTTACACTTCAGTAATAAAATGGACTAGAGTTTACCCTCTTCAGTTCTGGTGGCCAGTTAGTAAGTTAGGGCATGGACATGTTTTACTAGGCACAGCGCTCCTGGCATAAGTCGCTGAGGCTGAAGCCCTCCATCATGGAGACACTCCTTCGTCTCGACCCGGTCTCTGACAGCCTCCACTTCACCTCCGGTTATCATCCAGAAGGAGACGGTCAGACCGAATGGATGAACCAGATGCTCGAGCAGTACCTACGCATCTACAGTAACTACCAGCAGGACAATTGGTCCGAACTCCTGCCTCTCGTGGAGTTCACATACAACAATGCTCCGAATGCCACCACAGGTGTCTCTCCATTCTTCACCAACAAAGGCTACCATCCGAACATCACCATTCACCCAGAGTGAGACCTAACATCAGTATGCGCCCAGGAGTACTCTGTAGATCTCGACTCCCTCCATCACTTCCTTTGCGAGGAAATGCACCTTGCTCAGATCCATTATCAGGGCCCGGCAGACTCCTGTTGGAGTCCTGCCCCAGCTTTCGAAGTAGGAACCTCAGTCTATGTAAAGGCCAAGTATTTCCGCTCCACCCGACCTTCCAAAAAGCTCTCTGAGAAAAACCTCGGCCCATTTGAGATCATTGCCCTCATAGGAACTCACTCCCTCACTCTCTGCCTGCCAGAAAACATGCGAGCCATTCACCCAGTATTCCATGTCTCGCAGATCAAACCCTCCATCCCAAACATCATTCCGAACCGCCACCATGTCAGGGCACACACCCTGACTAGCCCGCACCCGCACCTGCATCCGGACCCGGACCCGCTTGTGCGCTCCGCCTCGCATGCTCCGTGTGCCGCATGCTCCGGGCCCGGTTCCCACTCTTCATGTGACTTCCAGGTATCCCCGGAAGTTTTCGCCATATTGGGCCACTGTGGGAAAGTGAGAAGTTAACCTTCTTCTCACTTTCTTACCCACAGTAGAGTTGTGCCCTGGACAGGGCTGTTCACAGGTTAGACTGTGGGCCATAGAGAGGGGTCATGGGGACCTGGGGTCTGTCCCCTGACACACCAGCCACCTCCGCCTCCCATAGAAATCGAAGGCGAGATGGAGTTCAAGATTGAAGAGATACTCGACTCCAAGATCGACCGACGTAGACGCAACAAGTTGCTCTACCTGGTCAAGTAGCTAGGCTATGAAGGGACCGATGAGGAGACACAATGGCTCCTTGCCGGCAAACTCGATCACGCCTCTGACCTCATCGAAGCGTTCCACTCTCGTTACCCAGATAAGCCTGGACCTGAAGCCCCTTAGGAACCCCGACTCCTCCCATCTCTCCCTTTCTCTCCACTCCTCACTTCCATTTTCATTTTTCCTTTCTGTAAGTACAGCTCCCCTCACCTTACTAATTCTGGGCCTTCAAGGGTTCAGGCCTAAGAAGGGGATACTGTCATATCCATCCCCGGCCATCGACTTCCACTCCCTCCAACCCCTCTGGTCTACCTCCACTCCTTCTTCACTAACCTCGGAGCTCCCATATTCCGCAATCACCTCAGTACCCCTCGATGGTCACCACCCCCTCTTTTCAATTTATTACCTACACCTCCCTAAGTATGGAGCCCCAAAGGCCTCCAGACAGCTCCGACATCCGCTAGTGCACTCCCGCCTCTGCTGGGCAATACACTCGCTTGCCCTGCAAGCCCACCTTCGGGCCTATCCCTCCTTTCTGTTTCTGGGTTATCGCCTACCATTTCGTTAACCCTGTAACCTGACTCGTTGGTAATATTCAATCGGCTAATGTCTAACCCCGTTAGCTCCGCTCCGCCATTTGTGGGCCTGCCCTCGTTGTAACTATATATATACTCAACTTGTACATAGGTTACACCTCAGTAATAAAATCGACTAGAGTTTACCCCCTTCAGTTCTGGCTGCCAGTTTAGTAAGTTAGGGCACGGACGTGTTACTTGGCACAGCGCTCCTGGCATAAGTCGCTGAGGCCGAAGCCCTCTGCCATGGAGACACTCCTTCGTCTCAACCTGGTCTCTGACATGTATGTCCCATGGGGCATAGAGAATGTCGTCCTATGGACGTCGTCTGGATCCACACATATTTGTTCATACATGTCCGACATATCGATCTTAGATCGGTATGTTGCTCTGGCGACTGATTCTTGGATCAGTCGCATGTCTGGCATTGGTGTGACATTGTGGATCATGTTTGAGTTACGATTCCTTGTGTCTATTACTGTGCACAAAGATCCATCTGCTTTGCAGATACACAGTAGTGGGCATGCTTGCTCACTGCTCATGGGATACCACCATCCTGCTTTTACATAGCGATCTATTTTGGTCGCTAGTGCTTTCTGCAGTGCTGCAGGACATCTCGGGGTGTTTTCCCGAAATTTCTTGTTCGGATCCTTTAATGGGATTCGATGGTTCATGTTACAGGAATGGGTTCCGGGGAACCCAACCTGAGCTGTTCGGCTCACTAATGGAGGTGGCTGCATAGCCATCAGAGAGAGAGCGGAATAGGATGAGTGTATGGAAGTACAACCTGTGGGTTGGCCAATGGTGACTTGGCGCTCATGGGAGCGTACCGGTAGCGGGAGTTGTTGGGGAAAGTGGGCTGGTGGACCAGTGCATGGTAGTGGGTGACTGTGGGAAGTGGGACCTGCAGGTGTGTGGCCAGGCATCCTGGAGCTGCCTGGACCATATCCTTCTCCTGAGGAGGTGGGATAGGCTACAGTTCCTGATAGGGAACTTCTGGTTGCATGGGAGTAACCACTCAACCACCTGGTGGACTGGTGGGAGCGGGCAGCAGGAGGTTGGGTATGGGAATGCCCTCCTCATTGCGGTTTTGTCATGGAGAGGATGAATAGGGAGGTGGACATGGTTCCAGGGTTACAGGTTGAGTTTACAGTGGTGGCACAATGGTGAGGATGTTACAATCGCGGTACAAGGTTTGTGGGTTATGTATTCAATAATGATCAACATCTCGGCATTTGCCATACATGTCATATGACTTGTGTCTATCTAATACAAAGGTTGTAATGGCCAAGGGAAGTCCCTTGGAAATCAACAAATCCCCCAGCCAGCACCAAAACCCAGTGGGAAAGCTTGGCATGGGGTTTGGCAAAGAACAAAGTGAAGGGAAGGAATTGTCTTACCTGTGTGCATGGTCCATAGGAATCTCCATTTCCATAACAGTTCACCTCCCTCAAGGGAGGCATTTCTAATGGCGCTGCAAGCAGGGAGAATGGGCAAAGAGGCTGCAGGGGCACAAGACCTCTGAACCTGAGCAGACCACCCTCACACACACACACAGGTAACGAAAGGGGAGGAGCGAAACTGCAGCATTGACAGACTCACTGGTGGACCTTCCTACTACTAGGTCTGAAAACTCAAACTTCCGTGAAAAACCAACTAAACCAACTGGTGGACCTTCCCTAGGGCCGAGCAAGGCATCCTGCCTTCTCAACGTCGCCCTAAACCTAACTGAACTCGTTCACACGCTCCCAGACACGGTACTGTCGGACTGGCACTAAAGCGGGGAAGGAGGAGAAGATCTCTTATCATACTGAATACATGTTTGTATATAACCAAAGCTAATGTCCGAGCAATCCGACGGTGTTAGGGACGGACAGAAACGGACAGAACAAAGAAAACAACAGACAAGATGAAATATATGGGTGCGGCCACACAATCGATAGAATTCAACGATCTCCACAACGGCTGCACCAAATCACCCGATGCTGGACTTGTTCGACTCGTCTTGACGGTAGCTTTCTAACGATATAGAATGCGTCTGGATCGGAGAAGAACTGGGGAGATATGGTGAAAATATTATAGAAGTGGCCCGATATGGAAACTAAGTGGCCGTAACCTGGTCCGGAAAAATATCAAAAAATACAGAGATGATGGGGGAAGTGCAATGGGCTGGGGGATTGTGTGTCGGGTCCCAGGTAGCATCTGTAGACCGTTATATGGTGGTGTTTGGGTACTACCGGCTCATCCCTCCCACAGCACTGGCACCATTACAGTTTCGAATTTCTCTCTCCACCACTCCCTGAGTATTTTGAACTTGGGGTTGTTCATGGAGAGACCTTCCAGATGTGGTACGTCTGGAAGTTCTAGTCCTTCTGGACTAGGGTTGGGCCAACCTTCAGGGTACTTTCTTTTGATTACCCTGAGGTGTGTTTTAATCCTGCCTCCCTGTCAGGGAGGCTTCTTTTTTGGTTGTTCTCGAGCTCTTGCTCGAGTTTTCCATCCATGTGATCTCGTCGCATGATCTTCACTGACTCCAAGGGTATCTATGTTGCCCTTGTTCACTGTTCTCACTTTGTGGGACCGGAAGTCTAAACTTACCTGGTTTTTGTTTACCAGGGGGCACTGAATATGGCATCATATCTATCGATGTTAATCACATCAAAGTAGTGTTTTTCTACGTGGCCATTGATCTCAACATCCACATTTGTTCCAAACAGGATCTGTGATCTTGTTCCTTTCATCCCCATTTGAAGGACGACTGGGTTCTCCAATTGGAGAATTGGGATATGGACCGCGCAGACAAAGTCCGGCGATATAGCGTCCATTTTGGCTCCACTGTCAAATAGCGTGTAGGCTTTTATGCCTGCTATTTTTATATGAGCCATCAGCGTTCTCTTTGTTGAGAGTGGTCTGTTTGCAGGGTATTTTCCCGCATCTTTTGAGATGCGGAATTTCGCATCAAACAAGGGGGTCTGTGTCATATCCATACAATTCCGACCTCCGCTCCGGGCTCCCGGAACTCCGAACCTGACTTCCGGAGTCCTACTTCCCTTCCGTCACCTCCTCCTTGCCGACTCCCAAGAGGTTACCCCACCTCCGGCTTGGACACCACCTTCGGTCCGACTCCAGAACATTCCGGGTCCGACCCCAACCTCGACACCTTCCAGACAAGTACGCAAAACCTATGCTCCCGACTCCGGACCTCTGCTCCGGAATCTCGTTCGCGTCTCTGTCTCCGGAACCTCCGGTCTTAGCTCCGACCTCGGACTTTGACCCCACCTCCGCTTATACCCATTGTATTGGTTAGCTCATTCCATTTAATTATGTTTGCCAATATTCCGGAGTTTAACTTCCGAGTTCGGACTTTCCGGACTTATGTCGGACCTTGCAACTATTGCATTGTCCTATTCAATTCCGCTATTCTCCCTCATTCCTATTTGGGCTGCTGCTTCCTTTCTATTCAGTCAGCTAGCCATTCCCCACTCCCAACCTCCTTCCTTCCTCCTTGGGCCTTGGCCCTTCATTCCTCCTTTGAGAAACACCATTGAGTCAAACCCTTGACCCTCGGTGTTGTTCCTCTTTCCATCTCCCTTTGTCTCCTTTCATCCTACCCTCGCTCCTTTTGATTCCGGACCCCTCCTTATATACAATGTACATAGTAACTTGTAACCTCAGTCCGAAATCGACATGAATTCCCCCCAAGAGACTTTCCCTCTGCTAGATCCGAAATTAGGGACCCCTAGGACAACCAGCAATGGCACAGTGCTCTGCCCGAGTCGCTGAGGCCGAGGTCCTTCCATGCTAAGTCTCCGATTCCACTCTGGAGTCGTCCGAATCCGCCCATTCTAACAGTCTGGGTTTCGATGGACTTTTGGTCCTTCTTCCCTTTCTCCTTGTTTTCCTTGGGTACTTTGGTGTATTTCCCCAAGGCATCTTTTCTTGGTGCTTCCACCAAGGCTTCAGCGACTTTCCCGTCTGCTGTGTTTTCTAACTGGCACGCTACAGCCAGTTTGATTTTATAATTTAATCGACAACTGACATTGGGCCCATCCTTATGGTCCTGATGTTGACTTCCTCACCCTCTGAGTCAGGTGAGTATTGAGGTCCTTCGTATGGGTCCTCTACTTCAAAGTTTGATGCTCCGGAGTTACCAGAGTTGTTCTCTGCTTTTTCGTCTGATGAGTCTTCCGACTCTTCTTCTGATGCATTCGCGATCTCCATGGCAGCTATGCACCTTGGTTTTTCATCGCTCATTGCATTATGTTTTGGGCAATCTTTTGTTTGCCCTATTTTGCTACATTTGCCACAAATTGGAACTGACTTTTGGTCAGTTTTCCTCGAGTTTTTCGAGGATGTATCCTCTTCCCATCTGGATTTTGGCTCTTTGTCACGACCATGCATTCTGACCCAGATGCCGGCCCTTATTCTGTTTCCTTTTGTTTCATTTTGTCACCTGACCCATTCAGTTTCTTACTATATATATATGTATATTACATTATTATAACTTTAGTCTGAATATCAACATGGTTTGTCCCCCCTAACAAGGCAGCCCAAGCCACTTCGAAATGTGGGCACTGAGACAGTAGGTGGGCACAGCGCTCTCTTGGAGTCACTGAGGCCGAAGCCCAACCCTGGAGCCTTGTCCTGCCAGTTATCCCCGTTTGCTGACCCGTACCTAACACTCTTCAGCCTTCTTTCCTGATGGGAGAGCTCTACCATGGCTCGTGGTTGCTGTAGTGGTTGTTCAGGTATAATATCCTGATTTGTAGGCTGAAGACATCTTCAGCCTGTCGATTATCTCGTCTACACGAGATATTGCTTTCAACATCTCCTCATTTGAGGAGAAGTCTGCTCTGATTCTGTCATGAGCAATCATTTCCCTCTTCCATTCGAGGGGAATGTAGTTTAGGAACCTGGCATTGAAGGACACCTGGTCTGGCAGTGTCACCATCTGGGACACTGCTTTAGACAGTTCTAAGTAGAACTGTTTTAGGCCTTTTTCCGCTTCATATTTAATGTTGTGGTACTCCTTTGTTGCATTCACCACGGCAGAGGCTTTAATGAAGGTTCTCATCAATATGTTGAGAACTTCAAGGAACATACCCTCATCTCCCCTGAGGAGAGTTTCATCTCGGAGTCTTATTCCGAGGTCGAACGCAGGTCCCCCTAATCTGCAAATCAAGCAGTCCAGATGGACTTCATTGAATTGGGGACCTTTGCATCCTTGTGAGGCGAGGAATCCCAGTAGTTTTGTGAACCACTGCCAGAACGATTCCATGTCATTCTCCCCTGACCATTTCTTGTCAGGAAAAGCCGGCCCATTTTTTAGAGCTTCAGGCTTCACTCCCTCTGGGTAGGGGGTGAGTAGTCTCACTTCGGCCATTCTTATGGCTTTTTCATACCATTTCTCCAGGTACTCCTCTTGCTCCCCTGCCTTCGCAGGGTCGCTATCCAATGGAGATCTCTCCTTTGGGGGGGTTTTTGCTGGGGGGAATCTTCCTCGCAGTGTTTCTTTGGTTTTGGGCGAATTTGCCTGAAGTTGTATTTGGATTCTCTCATTGTTTTGAGAGAGTGTGGTTGTGTTACCTCTCTGTTCGAGAGGTTCGTCGAAGGTGGATGTTTGGTTGAACCTTTGGTATGTGCCGATTCTCCTCCTAATTTCTGAATGGTGCCTTCTTTCAGCATTGTCTTCTCCTATCCTTGGAAGAAGGATCTCCTTAGCGTCTCTGTCAAGTTGCTGATGATACTCCAGTGTACTTTCACTGGTGGTTCTTTTCGTGAATTTTTCATGAGTTCTGGTTTTGTCCTGGCCTGTGGCCCAGGGGTATTTTTTTGTTTCCTCACTATTTTGTGAGAAGTTTATCTCCTTCAGCAAGTCCATCTGCTCGCTGATTTTGTCATTCAACGCATCGACTGCGTTGGCCATTCTTTCTAGAGTTATCTCTAGACAAGCTGTGCTATTGTGGCTCATTTCCTCAATCTTTTTTTGATTGAGTTTATCGTGTTTATTATGCATGATTCCTGGTTTTCCAGGAGGAAGTTTGGTTGGGCGAGCAGTGACTCTCCCCAGTTGACATTGCCGCTTCTGGGGGTTCCAGAAGGGGTTCTTGGAGTGAAAACTCTGTCATATCCGTGCATTCCCGATCCCGACCCGACTTCCGGACCTCCTCCTTCCCCAGCTCCGGAATCCTACCCTACTGCTGTCCGTTCCAATATTCACCTTCAGTCCTGGCACCATACCACCCTTCACCTCCCATGCCACCTCCACTCCTCCGTCACTCTCTTGTCCTATCTCCGTCCGCTCCAATAACCACCTCGGACTGAACACCACCCCTCTCACCACCCTCCTCCTACTCCTCCGCTCACTCCTCCGCCCCCTCCTCCGCTCCCTCCTCACAACACCTCCACCCTTCCATCATCCTCCTACTCTTCTCCCGTCCGCTCTGATACCCACCTTCGGATCTGACTCCTCTCCTCTCTTCCTTCCCCTCTCTTCCTTCCCCTCTCTTCCTTCCCCTCTCTTCCTTCCCCTCTCTTCCTTCCCTCTCTTCCTTCCCCTCTCTTCCTTCCCCTCTCTTCCTTCCCCTCTCTTCCTTCCCCTCTCTTCCTTCCCCTCTCTTCCTTCCCCTCTCTTCCTTCCCCTCTCTTCCTTCCCTCTCTTCCTTCCCCTCTCTTCCTTCCCCTCTCTTCCTTCCCCTCTCTTCCTTCCCCTCTCTCTTCCCCTCTCTTCCTTCCCCTCTCTTCCTTCCCCTCTCTTCCCTCTAGTCCTCTTCCGCCGACCTCCCACCAAGTTACGACCTTCCACCGCTGACCTGTACTTCGTACTTGGGCACCGCTCGTACCTTTGCTCCAAGCCTCCATCATAGTTCCTACCTCGGTCTTAGTCCATTGCATTGGTGACCTCATACTACGTAAACACCATTGCCAATATTCCTCGGACTTTCAACCCTGCCTCCGTAAGCTCCACAACCTCCGAGCTTCGCGGATCCTCTTCGGCACTTTCGCTGCTTGTAATGTATCTCTTGCGTTTTCCCCTCATCCCTATTTGGACTGCTGCTTCTTCCCATTCTAGCCAGTTAGTCATCATCCCCACTTCCCCTCATCCTCCTGCCCCTCTGGGCCTCGCCCTCCTTACCTCCTTTCGGACGTATCACAGGTTCTGTCTTATGACCTTTGGTACCGCTCTGCTTCTGTCACCCCTTTGTTCCCATTCAGACGCCTTCATTCCAATTCGGTTCCCCTTCATTTCCTTGTGCTTTCGCCCCCTCCATTATATATATCGGCGCTTGTACATACTTGCAGGAGGCTCAGTCCAAAATCGACCTGAAATGCCCCCTAGAGACTTCCTGCTCGCCTACTGTGAAATTAAGGACCAAATGGACAAACAGCAATGGCACAGCGCTCCGCTTGAGTTGCTGAGGCCAAGGTCCCTCCACACTAAGTCTCCGATTCCACTCCGGAGTCATCTGAATCCGCCCGTTCTAACAAACTCCACACTCGCTTTGTTTAGGCAAGGCCATTGCAGGGGGTGCTTCCCTTTCATAGAGGGGTCTGTTTGCTGGTTTTTCCTTACTTTTCCGTAAGGCTTCCTCAGCGAACTCCCTCATTTCAGTTTGCCTCCTCTTCATTATCTTGGAGACCTCCTCTGAGGTTGGCAACCTTGCCTTGTCTGGCATGGCATGGGGTAGTGTAAACAGTGGAAGTTCTTTTGGAGCTTCCGTGCTCTGGGAGATCCTGCTCTCAGGGCGTTTTTTCGCGCCTTCTCGGGCTTCCAGCCTGAGAAGAAGTTGGTCTTTGTTTTCCATCCTCCATTCAGACGGAACCTGGAACAAGTCCAGTAGTTTTTCGGATAGCCAATGCAGAGGCTCTTCCCTCTGTTTCCCTTTATCTGCCTTTGGGGCTTGACTTGGGGACATGGGGGAGGACTCCAGGGGATAGTGGGGCCCTGGAGTTTCCTGTGACTCTATCCAATCAGCTTTTCGGGCTGATCGTTCAGTGCTTATGCGTTTATCGCACAAGTCGATCACCTCCTGAGGAGATGAGGGATCTTCCCCAGCTTGGGTTAGTGTCAGGGGACGACTCCTGGGTCCCCATGACCCTCCCCTATGGCCCACAGCCTCAGGTCTGGCCAGCCCTATCCAGGGCACAATCTACTGTGGGTAAGGAGATGTCAGGGACGCGTCCGGGGTGGAGGGGGCCCGGCTGTAGCGCCCGGCAGAGGGACCCTCTCGGGGGACGAAGCGGGCGCGCATACTGATGGGCCTGATCTGGGACTGTAGTCCCTGGCCACTTAGACTGAAGTGGAAAACGTGAATTGTTATTAAAAGGAAGAACTACACTACTTACCTGAAGTGGAAAACATGAGAAGAAGGTTACTTCTTCAGTTCCCACTTCAGGTACATTTATGTACATGCGGCTTGGGTCACATGACAGGTGCCACGTCATCTACGGAGAGAGCCGCAGCCATCTGGGTATCCCTGCGGGGGATCCCGAGGGCATCCGCTGCAGGTGCGCATGCTAGGCGTAGCAGGAAGTCGTCTGGGGTGTCCGAGCCGGATGGGTCAACAGTACAATGATACAGGGGAAGGTGGTCTGTGTAAATAGAAAGAATAAACAGAAAGGGAGAATGAAATAAAGGAGAAAGAGAAAAGAGGGAAAAGGGAGGAAAAGGAGGAAGGGGAAGAGGGAGGAAGGAGGGAGGAGGAAGGATGGGTAGCGGGGAGTGGGTGAGCGGGTGAGGTGGGCCCAGGTGGGCCTGGGTGGAACCGGGTCGGGCAGGTGTGCCCTGACAGGAGATGAATAGATAAACAGTAGGTAAGGTACACTTGCCTACTGTGGGTAAGGAGATGAGAAGGAAGCTAACTTCTCATCTTCCCACAGTGGCCACCATATCAGGAAAACTTCCGGGGATACCCGGAAGTCACATGAAGGCAGGATCCGGGGCCGGACCATGTGGCGCACGGAGCATGCGGCACAGGAATGCGCACAGGAAGTGTAGCAGGTCCGGATGCAGGTCCGGGTCCGGGCTAGTCAGGGTGTGTGCCCTGACAGTTAGATCAGTATGACATGGAGTTCTAGGGGTATTTGTCAGGGCACACCCCCCCGACCCGGCTCCACCCGCCCTCACCCAGTATCCTGCTCACCTCTACTCCCCACCCTTCATCACGGTTCCTCAACTCTTGTTCTTCTTTCTGTCCTTTTGTTCTTTTGTTCCTTTGTTCTTTGTTCTATCTTTATCTACACAGACGACCTTTCCCCATACCTATGTATTATTGACCCACCTGCGATGCGCACATGACACACCCAGCCCTGGACGACCCGGATGGCCTCACAGTGCAACCCAGCACGCACACGTGCAGCACATGCCCTCGGGATCCCCCATGGGGACACCCAGATGACTGCAGCTGTATGTGGGGTGACATGGAAAACCTCATGTGACCCATAAAGGTACCTGGGGTGGGAACTGAAGAAGTAACCTTCTTCTCACAGTTCCCACTTCAGGTAAGTAGCATAGCCCCCCCTTTTTTAATAACAACTCACAGTTCCCACTTCAGTCTGAGTGGCCAGGGACCATCGTCCCGGACCGGGCCCGCCAGTATGCATGCCCGCTCCACACCCCGCATGTCAGGGGATGACTCCCGGGTCCCCATGACCCTCCCCTATGGTCCACAGTCCTAGGTGTAACTAGCCCTGTCCAGGGCACAACCTACTGTGGGTCAGAGATGTTATATATAAGAGAGGCAAGTATATACAACTTGCCTACTGTGGGTCAGAGATGAGAAGGAAGTTAACTTCTCATCTTCCCACAGTGGCCACCATACATCGAAAACTTCCGGAGATATCCGGAAGTCACATGAGACCCGAGACCCGAGGTCCGGGCCATCCGGCTGCACTGAGCATCCGGCACAGGGCGCATGCGGGGAGCGCAACAGCCGGGTGCAGTCGCAGGTGCAGGTGCGAGTGCGGGTGTGGATGCGGGTATGGGCTAGGTCAGGGTGTATGCCCTGACACCGCAACAGCCTCAGTGCTGGGCATTACCCCCAGGCCCCCTTGACCCCGGACATGTCCCTGACAGTATTGGGCCCCACACTTACTCCACGTAAGTTTCTAAAACCTTCAGGGGCCAGCCCTGAGGTGGTTGCTGTTTTTGGATCGTGTTGATCCTTGTCATCGTCTGATGATGGCTGTTGATTTGAATCTCCCATGATGGGAGATTGTGGTTTCTTGATGAACTGCTCATTTCTTTTTATCGTCACTGCAGATGTGACCTTGCCCTTGCAGGTGTGTTTAGGTGCCATTGGCGCTACCAAGTCAAGATGTTAAGATTGATAAGTTCTAGTGGTTGTGTTGTAAAACACACCTCATACACTTAAAAAAGTGTGAGGTCTCAGTGGGTAGCTCAGCACACAGAGCCGTAAGTGATACAATGGTGTGTATTTTACAGTGGTGTGTAAGCAGTTAACCAGAGGTTACCACTTACCCACATGACTATATGTATCTTTAATTACATATGGCTCGGGGTTTGGGGCTATTGCCCTGACAGAGTTGGAGGTGGTTGCAGAATCCGGAGGCTCCAAGGTTAGTGATGAAGGAGCAGAGGTAATCCAGAAGGACCAGAGGTAGTGGAGGGTGATGGCCATGGATGGATATGACAGAATGCAACAATGGGCGAGACTTCTGACTGATTCAGGTAAGATGTGCTCAGACCTGAACTAATTCCATTGGTGTTACATCAAACCATAATGTCAGGAACATGCCAGACGCGTATCCGGGTGACCCGCGAGGCGCGCGAGGTCATCCGGGCTCGTAAGGTCGGAGGGGCAGGACTTTAGCTTCAGCGACTCGGGTGGAGCGCTGCGCTTCGTTCTTACATTGGTGTCCCAATTTCAGACAGAAGCCTTACGATGAGGATAAGAGTTTAGAGGGGGAATCCAAGTCGATATACGAACTAAGGTACATCCGGTGTAACCTACACGCATTATAAACACAAGAAACTAAATGAGACCGGCCCAGAAGGAGTGGCGGATCAAGTGTGATATTAATGAATGAAGAAAGGAACAAATAATCAATATCGGCAAACTTGGTCAACAAAAGGCAAGCAAGGAACAATAGGAGGAACAATAGTCTGCAAGCAGACAAAAGAGAAAAGGCCATCCAGCTGTCTAGCAAGCCATCCGGCTGGGGGCAGACAACAATGAAGCAGGCAACCTAGGTTGGTAGGTACGCGTGCGAGGGAGGAAGTGCGGATGAGGGTGACAGGTGGACGGATGGGTGGACGGATGATGATGATAGCGGGAGGGACGGACCAAGTGGCACTAGGGTGCATAGAGGGAAGTGATGGATATGTCGGGTCGTGACACATAACAAACTTGCTATGCTTCAGGTTATCCACAGTGAGGAGAGCTCTTGAAGACTGAGAGCCAGATGCAAGTTTGCTCTTGCTCAATGCCAATGTTGCACAAATGAAGCATCTCTGCCCATTCGTCTATTGTAGCTTCCTGTAATGATAGATGATGGAGGTTGGCACTGTTGGAGGAACCGTGTGCTATGGGAGGCCGGACGAGTTTTCGTACAGCCACATTCCCACATCCGAGTGAGGAACTCGCCCAGACAGCCACATTCCCACGCTAGCGTGACTACTTAGTCACAACACCTCTTTTATATTATTTCGGACTAACCCGTGCCAGGCCACGGATATATTCATTCATTTGAATTCATTTCCTTTTGCCTCAGTTCTTCACGCATATTAGCTGAGACTGAGGTTAGTTACATTCCTTTATTACTATTTCCTTTATTATTGTAACTTACAATCCAGTAAAAGTTTGGGAAAGAGCGGCAGGGGCCCATGACCGTTCGAGTTCCAGCTGGACAGCCACGCCGGCCCCTCTGGAACCCCACGGAATCCCGGAGGGGCCCGATCCGCCCCCTGCCAGGCTCTCAGCCCCGGACGCTACACCCGGGTGAAGGGTTGTCCAAGAAGTCCTAGAGACGCCATGCCAAGGACATGGGCAGAGTGGAAGTGAGAAGTCACGCTTCTAGGTAATACAATTTAGTTCTTCACGCATATTAGCTGAGACTGAGCTTCACGCTTCTAGTCCAGCTCCGAGATCAAGTGTCGCTCATGCACTGCCTGCAATGGGTGGCTTGGTGGCTATACCGAGGCCAACTGGCTTTGGCTTCACGTGAGTGTGAGAGCCAGCCGCGAATGACTGACCCCCGGGCCCCTTTGGACCCCACCATAAAACCATTTTCTCAATGCATGGGTGCACGGGTGCATGCACTCAAACACCGAAATAGTATCTAAGAATGTAGGTTGGCTGGTAACCCCATGATACCAATTTACATTGACTGGGTCACAAGTAGTAGGCGGATTTGAATTTTGTCTACCTTAGTGTCATCAGTCTTCAAATCTGGATCCGGAGTACAGTGTTTACATTGAACACAGCTGCCTTTCATTTCGTACAAAATGACCAATGACCAGCATGAGAAGTTCCACCAGGGTACATCCTCCTTACAGAATCCTGTATCAATGTTTCACTGGGCTCAAACATTTCAGGGACATCCTTTGACAACCTCAGCAAGGCATCATATGTCGCAACATCCTGAGGCCTAATGGTGCGAAAAGTCCTGGAAGAAGCCCTGGCACACCAAACATCAAATGATGTGTAGGCATTCTTCCGGTATATAGGCAGCTGTTTGCCTTGCCTTGCTGGCTGCGTCCGTGGAGGTGGCCCTATAACAGAAACAATGGATTTCTTCGATGCCAGTGCAATCACCATCCGAATCACTGGGAGTGTTTTCTGTTTCTTGGGGAAAATTCCGAGCTTGGACGGATCCATTTTGTCAAACAAGTCTTGCGACGGTTTGGTTGAGTAAGAATGATCATTCTTCGACTGTATCATGAGGACAGTCATATTGTCCGCTTGCAATACTGTGTCTTTGTAAAGAATTGGAATGACCACATCAACGCCACCTTGATTATCCGCACAGACAACTCCGACACCCCGGGCAGCAAGCTTAAAGAGATAGTTGACAGAGAGTACCTCGAAATCATAAACCTTGATGAAATGCGTGACGTAGATGCGTGAGCTCTTGAATGTCTCGGCAAATGATCTGTTGCGGCTGCCGTTCAGCAGCATTGAAGGCAAAGAATCCTTGATCGACGTGTCATAGATGTCGCGGGCAAAGAGAGCCTGAAACAACGAGGTCACCATGACCCCCCTGGCTTCCATTCCCCTTCCCTAGACATAAGGTCATCTAGGGTGTCGATAATAATGTTGCAGGTAATGAGTTCTCCCCGATCTCCCTTACTTATTCCAGGCCACTGCAAGATGTCTTCTAACATATGACAGGACCGGACCGTATCCCGGATGGAGCACAAGATGGTGGCCGCGGCCTCGGTGAGGATCGGTTCGGATGCTGCAACCGTGACGACAGACTCGAACCCTTCCTTGACACCCAAGCATACACGCATGTGCCTCTCGACTTGGCGCATCTGGTCCCTTTCCGCCTCCGCTCGTTGCTGACCAGAGTAAACGGTCGTATTGAAGTCCAGGACAAGACGATGAGACATCACGGCAAACATTTCCGCGCGGGCCAAGTTGTCCCTTTTCCATGCACGACAGAGAAGTTTCTCAATAGCAAATGTGGTGATTGTCTCTTTGACGCGGTCTCCGCCCGCTTGGTAGCGTGTTAGCCATCTGCGATGACATGAAGCCATTATAGCGAAGAAAAATTTGGGAGAACGCACAAGGGACGACCTAGTGATAACCTATATGATAACTCAGTGACATTATCCAGAGTCATGACCCCATCAAACTCCTTCGCCATGTGATCAAAACCCAGTGCGCTGAACGGTTTGATACTGACAAGTTCACCTTTGAGAATGCGGCTCGATGGATCAAGGTGAGATGGTGGGGAGAACTGGTCAGATTTTCCTGTTGTGGACAAGAAGAGACTCCAGATAGGAAATGTCCTTAAAGCCCGCAAAGCGCGTCTCAACGACGTGAATGGAATCGGGTCTCCACCAGGATTTGGAGTTGTCAAAGTGTGGGCTTCATCAAACGCCAAACACAACACGGGAGTATGCTGTGCACTCTGGTAATCAGGAGCGATCTTTTCTAATACTCTTTTGATGACAGAAGTAAGTTCAACCGTACCTTGTGTATGAGAAAGACATTATATCAGTCAAGACCGCGCTTAGGGAAGCAATGGGGAGTACCGTTTGTTTTTGTCGTGAACTTCCCGGGCGGTGTTTTCATTTCTGGAGGAGTCATCGGCCTTACTGAAGATAGCTGCCTCGACTGTGAGGGTCATAGCGGCGACATAGAACAGACGACTTGCCTTATTCGCTCTGTTCAATACGTCCTTGTAAAATTGCACACGCAGAGGACCTTGCTCATCAAACTGCTGTCCAACTGTCATAAAAAGCCGAAACTGCTCGGCAAGGGATTCAGGATAGTTCTTTAATGTGGCCGTCTTCTCGGCATCTGAGAGCTTAGAGGACTTGATCCTTGATTTTAGGTCATCAAGGACGTCAGATAGTTTCTCGAACAACGCAGTGAGAAATGCGCTGAAGCGATCATCGCTCGCAAGTTGTGAGAGGCCAGGGTATGTGAGCCAATGGAGGATAGCATGGTCAGGGGCTGGATATCCTAAATCGAAACATCAGAATCACAATGAAGCGACCGTGAAGAGGATATCACCTTCAACTCCCTTACGGAGATTGAAAGGGACTACAAAGTGGTACTTGGAGAACTCGTCGACCATTCGCGATTTCCCCATCCCAGACGACTGCACGACTGGTAAGAGGCGAGCATACACATTAGGGCCACATGGTCCCGTCATGTACAGGGAAAGAATGTCGGCAGCGTTTCCTTTGTATGTGGAAGACCATGACTTGACCGCCGCTGGAATGGGTTCATAAAGGAATAACACCAGCAGGCGACACTCTACCCACCATCTTTGGATAACTGAGAGTCAAGTATCACTTCAAGATCCGCAAAACCCGCATGCTGAACAGCTGGACGAAGAATTTCTGCAACGACAGCTGATCAAAACCATCCAACGACGGCAAAAACCTCCGGCGCATACTCAGGTTTCGTATGTCATTGAATGATTCTTTGTTCCACGCTTCGTCCAACTTAGCCCCCAGCTCCGGGTGGTTTGTTATTAGAGCACTCAGCTCATGTACATCTTTCGAGACGAGTAGTCCATCTGACTGCTGCACAATGCTTTGGAGAAGAGCAAGACGAGTGCCACCTTGTTGGGAAAGCATGCCAAGATTTTTGTAGACCTGCATGTTGCGCAGGACACGATCGTTCAGACTCTGGTGGGTGGCTTCGTCCAGGTCATCGGGAAGAACCGCAAGAGTCGTCTTGGGTACACGTTTAGAGGAGGGCTCACCCATTGGCGGTCCGAAGTCCAAATTGGATCTCTTTAGAGCTGACTGATTCATCGACACCGCACCGTGCGGATATTGCCGGGAGGCTGCACTGAGGAACATTCCCACGCTCAAAGACTCTTCGAGGTTGACAGGGGTGGTTGAGTGACCGCCCACAGTTTGGTCACGCAGGGTTGGGCAGACCAGCGTCTGACCGCCCGTCATGGTCGAATGCCAGACTGTTGGAATACGAGTCACATGATGAAACTGAACCGGAATATCCGGGAATATTCTAGGGGTTACTAGGCGCCTGCGTAAGCGCTGGGCATAGAAGAGCCTGGAATATTGTTGAGAAGTATAAATATGGGCGCTGGAGCGCCGTGTGTATTTGAGTTATATTTCTTTCTATATTACATCTGGGTTGCGAGTGAAACCGCCGAAGCGGGTTGCCATATTTGGAACGGCGCGTTTACAACACAGACGCTCGGTCTGATTCACTGACTGTCCATGATTCAGTCAGCTCTAAAATGATCCAATATCGGGCCGCCAATTTGCACTCTCGCGGTTCATCCCACTGTCCTGCACCCAGCACTTGCGCTACATGAGCCCGACAACCTTCTCTCATGGAAATTATCCTCTGTTCGGAGACAAAAAAAATATTTTTGCACGGATGAGAGTTTATTCCCGCTACTCATTCCAAACGACAAGCAGTACTCTGCCCTCGATTACTACCATCACTGTACGTAATTATTGGTTGAAATATATATATGTAACAACATCATTTACTTCTTCCGATCTCACTGTGAAGTAGGACTTCCTGCAGTCAGACATGCTCTTGAGGCCCAATATTGAGGCCAAAGACCGTTCCTCTGTTTACAGCTAACTAGCCTTTTGTTTGTAACCATGTCTTATTGGGTTTGACAAAGACGTTTGCCATATATCAGGAAACTAATACAGGTGTGATTTGAAACTCTCACGGTCCATTGGCTGTTCCAGAGCCCAATTGGGGACTGACGTTCGAAGGTGCTTGGGCGATCCACAGTAAAGGATGCTCATCTCGACATGTTAACGAAAAAATCGGCAGATGTCATCGCTTGGCGTACCATCGGCAAAATGACGTAAGTCACAATATTTCCTACATTTTACATAACAATTGAATGGTAGAATCGGCTTATGTAACCGGTCGTTCACACATCGCAATCTGATTCCGGGGCTCTTTCGTTGTTTCTTCCATTCAGTCTGACAACACAAACAAAAACCCCTCACTGCCTCACATGCCTACCGCATTTGTCACTGGGAGCGTTTGTGCCCTGGTCTTCGTTTGAAAACCAGGAAACAGGACAGACCCAGTAAGGGGTGGTGTGAACAGCCCCCACACCAGTTCAACCCATAACACTGACGTTCCAGCGCAACCTGGGCATCCCAAACAGGTTCCCGGCGCTTGGTTTTCGACATGCACATGATGGGCTTTGGACTTGCATGGGTGAGGTGTGAAACACATGGCTGGGAGACGCTAGAGGTGAGTCCCTTTTCCGATCGTTCAACAATTCGCGTTCGTTGCCCATCAAAAGTGCGCTATGGCCCCCAATGCATACTATATGCGTTCCCTACAAGTCATCCCCGATCGGAGTCCAATCGGGCACTCTCCACGACCGTCTAAAGGATCCCCTTGCAGGTGCATCTACAGCTCAACGACGAGGGGGACTTCCTTCCTCCTTCCCCCATTCAACTGCTTCCTTTTGTTTATTCCACAATCCACTCTGCAAACATGAATGCCGAGAAGTCCGCCACCCCCTTCACCTTTCCCTCGTCCTTCAGCACCGCCTCCCATCCAAAACTATCAACCTGGAGCCCCCATCCCCCCATTTTTTCTTTTGTTGTGTACATAATTCCCACTACAGAGTAGCGGGTCTTGTGGGCTTAGACTGAATTGCCATGGTCCTGTTCCATGTTCTATTGTAATCGAACATGTGATAGAGTGAGTAACATGCATATGGAACCATTTATGTAAACCCTTTTTTTTCAGGAGCTGTTCCACCATACAATCTAACTAATAGATGACAATACTGCAGATCTTGCAAGTCCCATAGGTTGTTATGAGCCTGGGGCTCAGATGTTGAGACCCCGCTCATGAACCGACACGTTCAGTGTCCATCTTATTGGCATGCGACAACACTCCCTCCGCTCTGCTGCCTCGTCCGTTGTTGATCCCGACATCATCCACACATTGCTATGACCATGCCATGACTACCTCCACATGCACTCTTGCCCCATCCCGTCCAGTGCCACTGGCAGTGCCGACACAATGGTCGCATTTGTCCTTCTGCATCTTCCCTCCACTCTGCTGTGACCACCTCCATCTGCAACACATCCTTCCAATGGCCCCGGTGCTCATCTCTCTCCTCCATCCCGATGCATTCTATGCAGGCATCCTTCATCGGTTCCTCCCACCTTGTCACATTGCCCTCATGATATGCCATTGTGACGTCACGTTCCATTCTCAGCTGACATGCTGATGCAGAGGTTCGCCCTTCGCACTCGACGATCCTACCCCACCTCCCGCCACTGCTCCCCTGCGTTGAGTCGGGACACGAGTTACATGCAGTTCCGCATTGGTATGCTGTCAATGGGCCCATGCATAAAATACTATGTATGTACATCAGATGTGGCCAAGACCATCACTTTTCATGTCCCAGCGAAATATGTCATTGTTAAATGCAACTGTCGTCCTCCAGGGAAATATCATCGATGCACATGGTGAGGGGAAGAAATCGTTGAAGCTAGGGCTCGGCCTTCTGCAAGTTCTTCGATTTTGCGGACAGGATCCCATTGTGGCCACACGTCCCGGTCTGAGGGAAAAACTGATGGATCAAGGCTAACCAGCGATGGGTGGGTCGATTGGAGCTAGATGTCACGACCCGGCGTTCCCTGGGGTCAGACGACCTCCTCCCCAACCTTCTCTCAGTCCCGAACACTCCCCGCACACTCTGCTCACTGCCCATCGCCGCCTAACCACTTCCCGCCACCTCTCCACGACCCCTCTCCTAATTGTCATTGAACGACCTAGTGGTGCAGAGCGCCGCGACCCTTGTCCCATGTTTCACTGCACCTTGTTATCTTGCGGCAAAGGTCACGTTTGACCTTCGCTGTCTTGAACACGTGCTCCTTGTTTGTTTTCCTTTTTCTTTTCTCCGCCTGCAATCTCCGTGAGATCTGGCGACTTATTCCCTATTCAGTTCCCTAGCGCTTATATACAGCTTGTAACTAATGCTTGTACTGTAGTTTGAAATCAACTAGACATTCACCCCTAAGCTTGCTTCTGTTCCCGTAAGACCTCCGACCTTCTGAAGTATCGGGACCACGTCGAGAATGAGGCGCAACGCTCCTCCTCGAGTCATTGAAGCCGAAATCCCGGCTCTCTCGCCTAAGTAGCCTCGGCCTCGAGATCAGTGAGGTTATTCCTCGCTGAAGCTCGGTTGTGTATAGGATGCCTGTATCACTAGCGGGCAACATTCGGTCGCCTATGGCTACCGTCGGCGAACCTTTGCACGGTTCTGACACTAGAGCTGCTCTGATCAGGTGGTTTGTGTTGATTACCGAGTGTCTGTCTCGAGCTGCGATTCATGGTTGTTGCCCAGGGGCATGGCAATAGGCTGGGGTGGAGATTTGAGTGGATTTGGGATGCCTTTTTTTGAAACCTGAATTGGGCCAAGCTTGTGTGCAACAGGCAAGCAGTGAAACACTCGGGATGTTAATTCCACTATTAACAACGCCCTTACGAGAGGATGAGGCCAACTTGTTGGACCTGCTCGAAGTCGTGTCTTAGTAGTGCCTGCCACAAAATTTCTAACACATTCTGGACTGTCCAAACTGTCAGGGACTCGTCCGGGGTCGAGGGGGTCCGGGTATAGCGTCCGGGACCGAGAGCCTGGCGGGGGGCGGATCGGGCGTGCGTACTGACAGGCCCGATGTGGGACAGTAGTCCCTGGCCACTTAGACTGAAGTGGAAAGTTGTTATTATTATTAAAGGAGAAATATTGTACTACTTACCTGAAGTGGAAAGTTGAGAAGAAGGCTACTTCTTCGGTTCCCACTTCAGGTTCGTTTATATACATGCGGCTTGGATCACATGACGGATGCCACGTCACCCTCGCACACAGCCGTAACCACCCGGGTGTCTCCGTGGGAGATCCCGAGGGTATCTGGTGCAGGCGCGTGTGCTGGGCATAGCGGGAAGTCGCCTGAGGTGCCCGGGCCGGGTACATGGTGGGCGCGCTGCAGATGGGTCAGTTGTACATTGATACAGGGACAGTCATCCATGTAGAATAAAGAGAGAATAAAGGGGAAGTAAGATAAGGAGAAACTGAGGAGGGGAGGATGAGGGGGAAGAAGTGAAAGGGGGAGGGGGTAAGGAAGGGTGGACTGGCGGGGTACTGGGTCAGGTTGGGCTGGGTGGAGCCGGGTCAGGCGGGTGTGCCCTGACACAAACTCACACAAAAACCTCCTTCCACCAAACCCTACTCCCACCAATGGGTTCTCAACTAATGAATATTTTCTCCCAGCTCTCTCTTGGTTCTGATCTCACTGTGGTTTTGTTTGTCGGGACCGGAATGTTCTGGATAGCCAACGGCTCCCATATCTGAGACTCACGCACTCACATCATGTCGCCCCAATACCGTAATCCCTTCACACCAGAGTTTCACAAGCCATTCCGCGATGAATACTTTAAGTGCTGATGCAAAATGATTGGGCTTTCACTTGACCTCAGACTACAAATAGGTCCCCACCGAGTCCTGATAGCTCTGCTGTTACTTTTGTTTTCTTGAACATTGTTAGACATGTCAGACTCCATGGTGGAATAAAGAATGGGGGTTCGTAAGCAAAAGTGCCATATACCATCCCTCTCCCTTCAGAGCTGCACAATTGGTAAAACCTCTACAATTGACAGCCTTACATATAACTGGAAGGAGGGGACAGGCAACCATTTGCCTTTTGGGCGAAACACCTGATTTGCAAATGTTGTACTATCAGTAGCAACATAGCTGACAATGACAAAATGCTGTTTACTGACTCAGTTGGGACTTTGTATACAATTTCCATACC